GGTTGAACAAGTTTACACTCCCACCAACAATGCAGTAAGGTTCCCTTCTGTCCACATCCCCTCCAGCATCTGTTGTTATTAGAGTTCTTGATTTTTGCCATGTTGCATCATTTATTAAGCCCTTTATATCCAGCAGGATGGCTGAGGTTCTTCATATGAATATTTAAGAATGTGAGGGACTTCACAATCTGTGTTTATATCATTTTTATTGATGTCTCTTTGGCCAAAGCAGGTTAAATGGTAAATTGCAAGTCATTGCACAGAGTACTCTGAGTATTTGGGTACAGGTAAATGTGCCACTTACGAACCATTATTGAAACATTAGAACACCAGAAATAAGTCTTATATACACTTTTCCTGCATAACTTTGGATGAAAAATACGAAGTTATAACATATATGCTTTCTAGGGTGTTTAAATATGTAAGTGAATGAAGTAGAGCATAAATGCTCAATGGAGTCCAAGATAGCTTTGCATTAATAAAATACTTCATATGTGCCTAAGTGTATTTCAGTAATAACTACTTTTAGTGAAGATAGGATGTGTTTTTTTTATTTCATATTTTTGTGGGAGCATTAGGTTTTACAAATTCTATATGTATGTTAACCTAAAAATGAATTGCTTTTATAGGATCCAGCTACCAATTTATGGACCGTGGATTTGTCTTTAGTGAAGAATTTAATGCTCTACTTGATACAGAAAAGTACTTCTCCCATAAGAAGTCTTTATGCTTTTCCAGCCTGTGTATAATGTTTTGAGAAGGAAAATCTGGGGCATAATCACATAGGTCCTTTCCAGACTACCTCATTTGCCTTCTCTCCCTGCCATGCTTCCAGAACCTTCTGTTCATTGTCAACAGCATACAGGAATGAGAGGATCTCTGGTGAGTTGCTTTTTATTTCTCACTTTTTTTTTTTTTTTTGGTCGGTGATGGGGCCTCAACTCTGGGCCTGGACATTGTCCCTCAGCTCTTGAGCTCAATGTTAGCATTCTACCACTTGAGCCACAGCGCCACTTCCAGCTTTTTCTGCTTATGTGGGTGCTGAGGTATCAAACCCAGGGCCTCATGCATTCAAAGCAAGCACTCTACCACTGAGCCACCTTCCCAGCCCCTCACCTTTTTTTTTTTTTTTGGTTGGTCATGAGGCTTGAACTCCAGGCCTGGACGCTGTCCCTAACCTATTCAGCTCAAGGCTAGCACTCTGCCACTTGAGCCACAGCGCCACTTCCATTTTTCTGGTGTTTTTTGGGAGATAAGAGTCTCACAGGGACTTTCCTGCCCAGGCTGGTTTTAAGCCATGATCCTCTTATCTCAGCCTCCTGAGTAGCTAGGATTGCAGGTCTCAGCCACCAGCACCTGGCATGTCTCACCTTTTTTACATTCCATTTTATGAACCTAAGGGTATCTAACATTGAAAAACAGAAAAACAGATTCAGCTTCAGGAACATGTTTCTAAATAAGATAAAAATGGCTTGTAGATTTAGCAGATTAAAAAATCTTACATTCTGTCTGAGTGCAAATTTGCTTTAGTTTATTTCTAGTTTTTAGGAGGAGACTTCTCATGGAAGGTGAAGGAGGTGAAGGATCATTAGTAACTGGTGAGAGATCACATCGTTATGAGTAAATTAAACTATCTTAATGAACTTTACTGGAGTTGCTGAAATAGTGTGGCCTCACATAATTTTGGATGTTCTAAGGGACTGAGTAAGCTTAAATTACTCTCCATACATACTTCTTGGAGTGTTTCATGGTCTTTATCTTACTTGATACTTAGGCTATATTTGATGATATAGTCTATGGCCTTTTTAGAAATCCCTCTGTTTTATTCTAAAGTATCTTCACAAGACTTTCCTTCTAAAATGTTCTCTATTTATCCTGTTTCCTGCTCACTAGCTTTCTTTATTTCTCTTTCTCTCTGTATCTGTTTTTCTCTCTATCTAATTTTCTCAGTCTGTCTTGCCTTCTATATGTCTCTGACTTTTTTCTTTTCTTCAAATGCTCTATCTAGGAACTAGTTTTCCTTACTGATCAATTTTCCTTTGCTGATGTGGCACTTAATATTACTGTTTCCCTTTCCTGTTATAGAGGGAAATTGTTGCCAACTGTAATCCCAGGTAGTTCTACAGGATTCCAGAGCCAAAGAAAATTAGACAAACACAAACACAGGGGTCCCAAGGCTCACTAGCCCTTGGACCCTGAGTCTCCACAAGCACGTATATTTGCTTGAATTTACATAGGGAAAGTTACCATGGGTACATGCCAAAACTAAAGCATCCCTCTTGGCGCCTAGCTACTCAGGAGGCAGAGATCTGAGGATTGTGGTTCAAAGCCAGCCTGGGCAGGAAAGTCCATGAGACTCCTATTTCCATTTAACCACCAGAAAACCAGAAGTGGCACTGTGGCTCAAGTGATAGAGCATTAGCCTTTAGCTGAATAGCTCAGGGAAAGTGCCCATGCCCAGGGTTCAAGTCCCATGACCAACAAAAAAATAAATAAAGCATCTGTATTTCTATTACAATCAGAGCCAAAACAGAGTTTGTGAGAGACAATTTTTCCTGTATTGTTTTGAGACAGGAGTCTGCAACCAGAGAAAGTCCAGACATGAAGTCCACATTACCTTTGCCTTCAAGGTCAATAGCACTGAAAGTTCAGTTCCGAGCCTTTCTAACACTAAGGAAGGGGTGTGGCACTCCAGTCCCTTAACCCTCTCAAGAGGTGTCTGTTTTAACTCTTTCATGGCCAGCTCTCAGTATTCTGAGTACAGTTGATGTAGAGTTCCCAACTTCTCAAACCTTTTTCATCTTCAGATCAACTTCAGAGTTCCCTATAGAAATTACTACCTTCCATCCTTCAATAAACAGCAACAAATTGATTTCTCCTGATTCTCTTGTCTTTGTCTGGTCTAACCTCATTTGATGTGGTACTGAGGTTCTGGTTTTTCTTCTCTGTTTGAATATTTTCATTCACTGCCAATATGATATAGAAGCAGGTTTTGATAATAAACAATACAGTGAATAGGGTTTTTATATTTGAAATATCACTGGTGCCAAAATCTGACAGACTGCTCAGTAATAGACTTGGATCTCTCACTAATGTTTGTGGCAATATGTCCTTAGGAATCTCCTGGGACAGATGATTCAGGAATATGTGACACATTCAAACAGTTGTCAGTGAAAAGATATACAAAGATTAAAAGCAAGGCACACAGATTATAATAATTTGTATCTTTTGTCCATATGTGTTTGTTATTAATGCTATTTGTAGTATACCTTTCCAGCTAAAAACTGTTGATACATTGTCAAACACTTTCAACTTGTTATTTCACTAAGAAAAATAGATAAATACGTCATATCTCTAGAAGCCAAAATGTGAGTTTTCCATGTTGCTTTTTTTAGCCTGTTCTTGCTATGTAGTTCAGGCTGCTCTTAAATTTGTTATGTAGCTTAGGATGGCTGGTAATCCTTTTTGAGTTTCCCAAGTTTAGAGAGTTTACGTGTGTTTCATCCTGTGTGGCTACATTAACCATTCTTATATGTCAATTCAGTGATACAACATATGGCCAAATTGTTGTGCAGCCATCCTTTCCATCTATCTACAACAAATTTTCATGTTCCATATATGAAGCTGCATAATCATTAAATATACAGCTCCTGTTCCTCTCTATCCCAGTGTCTGGAATCATCTTACTTTTTGGCTCTATTAGCTTGTTGATCTTTGGAAGCTCAGTAAGGGAGATCATACCATGAATGTTGCTTCATGACTGGTGTGTTTTTTTTTCAGCATATTGTAGTATTCTGCAAAATGTAGTCATTTTTTTCTTATTCAACACATGTATCTATTGTTTTCCTGCTTCTATCTTTTGGTTATTGTGAGTAGTTGTTATGAAGTGATTCCCCAAATGTTTGTTCTAATGCCTGCTTTCCCTTCTGTACAAATCTAGAAATAAAAGTGATGAACCATATTACTATGTAATTATCTATTTAGTTCCTCTTAGGAGTCTCCATCCATACCATCCGTGATAGTCTTATATTCCTGAGAGAAATGCACCAAAGTTCACATTTCTTTCACATCTTGCCCAGTCAGACTTTGGAAGCTTTGTTTGTTTGTTTTTGTTTAAAACTATGTCCATGTTAACATGTGTAAAATAGTTATTTCATTGTAATTTTTGTGTGTGTGTCAGTTGTGAAGTTTGAATTCAGGGCCTGGGCGCTGTCTCTGTGCTCTTCAGCTCAAGTCTAGCACTCTACCACTTGCCACAGTGCCACTCTGTACAATGAAAAATCACCTCTAATATAACCCGCAGGCCTTCTTCTATGTACTGTAAATCAACTCTGATACCTATTACAATTTAAATCCTATGTATATAGTTGTAATACCACATTGTTCATAGGATAATGGCAGGTGCCAATTTTTTTAAACTATTTTGGTTCTCTAATTGAGTCTGGGCAACTCACAAATATGCAAGTGTTATTAATGAATTCTCTTTCCCTGAAAATATCTTCCATCTACATTTTTAAAAGAGTTCCTCTGACCAACGTATTGTGATTTGAAGGTTATTTTCATTCAGCACTTTACAGTTATAGTTCCTTTATGTAGTTTAGTCAGTATTCACCTCTGGTATTGTCAAACATAGCTTCATTGGAGGAATTGTTGGCCATTCTTCATCTGTACTGGGGTTTGCACAACAAATTGGTACTATATTTCTCTATTTCTCTCTATAAATTATATTACTATATTCCAACTTAAAATTCTTCTATAATTTTTAGATCACATCATTCTTTATTCTTATTTTTCTGTTTTGTTTCTAGTAGTCATATTTCACTTTTTTTTTTTTTTTTGTATTGTGAATGTTCCTTAAGCCCCTATTTGCCTCCATCCTTCCAGGAAGGCCTATTAAAATGAAGATCTGTTCAAGAAACATTTTTATTCCCCACCCACCTATATTCTGTATTGTAGGAGATAGGCGATGTGCACAAAAGTTCATGCTGGAACTTCTTTGTTTACTCAGGAAGGAAGTATCAGGATACTATGTCCACAATTCCATCTTTAAAATTTAATAACAAAATGATTAACATCGGATATTTTTTTGGGGGGGGTCCGGTGGTGGGGCCTGAATTCTGGGCCTGGGCGCTGTCCCTCAGCTCTTCAGCTCAAGGCTAGCTCTCTACCACTTGAGCCTCAGCACCACTTCTGGCTTTTTTCTTTTTGCTTATGTGGTGCTGGGGAATTGAACCCAGGGCCTCATGCATGCAGGGCAAGCGCTCTACCACTGAGCCACCTTCCCAGCCCAACATAAGATATTTTTATTGTGGGAACTAAGTCAAATTTTTTAAGTGCCAAATCACTCACTAGCTATTTTCTTGAGTACTGTTATTCCCTTTTCATATTCACCAGGACACTGTGCTGTTTTTAGGTCTACTAATGGAAAATGTAATCCATGGTATGTACTGACTATATTCTGATTGCTTATGAGACCACTTTTTAATAGATGATCTAAATAGGCTTTTTAGCGACCCAGAATATGAAAATGCAGGAAAAAACATTTGCTTGCTTCTTTGTTTCCCTGAGATATAGTAAACTTTATCAAAATAAGCTAAACACACTCTTTCAGATACCTACTTCGACTTAATGTTGTCATACCACATAACTACCTTCTTAGAATTATTTACTCGTCTGTATTGCTAGCACCAGAAATGTGTCTGATGTATTAGGGAAACTTTCTATTAGCAATGACCAAATTAATACAGAGGAAAATATTTTTAGTTTGATTTTTGTTTCTCCCACTGTATAGATAATACTGCAAGCTCCAGACATTTTATGTAATATGAAAGGATCTGTGTAGAAGAATAAAATTCCAGACTTAGTGTTTTCATGACTCAGGGCTAATTACTTGATGGAAATGTGCCGTTACAGAAGCTGGTGTCATTTCATGATGTTGCTGTGCGTTTCAGCTGGGAGGAGTGGCAGCACCTGGATCTTGCTCAGAGGACCCTATATAGAGATGTAATGCTGGAGACCTACAGCAACCTTGTGTTCTTAAGTGAGCAAAAGTCATGCTAATTTGCAATGTCAAGTGATTTGTTTTTAGTAGATATTTGAATATTTATCAAATTTTCAATGCTATTTGGATGGTAGATTCCAGTCCATGGGAAGTGTCATTTCTTTCTAAGGAAAACTTCAACTTGATTATATAACAGCTGAGGCAAGTTTATTCTCATTCTTCCAGAGGCTAAATCAACAGTTTGACAGAAGTTCTAAACTATGTTCCACTAACAGGAGACTGTCTTCCCAAACTTGAGATTATTTAGGTGGATATACAATCTAGAATAGGATGTATATCACTATTGAAAGTATGATCTGGAAATCACTAAAGGGAGTATTTCTAATTAAAACCTGGCACTGGCTCCAGTGATTCATGCCTGTAATCCTAGCTACTCAGGATGCTGAAATCTGAGGATTTTAGTTGGAATGGCAAAAAAAGGCCCCATGAGATTCTTATCTCCAATTAACCACTCAAAAACTGGAAGTAGAGCTAATATTCAAACTGGTAGAATGTTAGTCTTGAGGAAAAGAGCTGAGTTCAAGCCACACAACCAGCAAAATAAATCCAAAGTTGGGCAAATGTCACCCATGGAGCCAGAGAGAAATGAGAAACAAGAGTTAGCAGCAACTTTGTGTACAGGATGTATAAAATTTTACAGTATTTATGGCCCAGTATGAGCAGTAGTTCTATACTATTTCTTCCTAACAGGGCACTGTGCTCCTAAACCTAAATTGATTGTCAAGCTGGAGCAAGGTGCAGAACCATGGAGAAGAGAAGCCTCAGACAAGAATCTCACAGGTGAGATAAAGCATGTTGCATAGTGATGAAGCCAGAGCAATAATGTTCCTAGTTACCCTGAGTCCTGAGAGTAACAAAGAACTAGGTGTCAAAGACTTGTAAACTAAGAATGCAGTGAGTATTTGGGTACAGGGAAATATGCCATTTGACAACTATTATTAAAACATTATGGGCTCAGAAGGTAGCTCAGTGGTAGAGTGCTTGCCTCACATGCGTGAGGCCCTGGGTTCGATTCCTCAGCACCACATGAGCAGAAAAAGGCTGGAAGTGGAGCTGTGGCTCAAGTGGTAGAGCTCTAGCCTTCAGCTGAAGAGCTGAGGGACAGCACCCAGGCCCAGAGTTCAGCCCCCACAACCGACCAAAAAAAAAATATTATAACACAAGAAATAGGTCTTATGTACATTTTTCCTGCATAACTTTGGGTGAAAAATACAAAGTTACAACATATATACTTTCTATGGTGTTTAAATATGTAAATGAAACAGGTAGAGTACAAATGCATAATGGAGTCCTAGGATACCTTTGCAGTAAGAGAAAAATAGTTCATATATTTTAGCAAAAAAAGAGTTTCATATATTTGAGCAATAACTAATTTTAGTGAGCTTGTGATCCATTTTTTTGTTTCAATTATTCAATTATTTTTTGTGAGAACAATAGTTTTTATCATATCTGTATGCATTAACCTAGAAAAGAATTGCTTTAATAATATCTGTCTACCAACTAATGGACTGTGGATCCGTTTTTAGTGTAGAGAGTTTAATGCTGTACTTGAGACTTAAAAGATTCTTCTCTCAAAAGAATGCTTTATGCTTTTCCAGCCCATATATAATGTTTTGAGAAATATCTAGGGCAAAACCCAACAGGTTCTTTCCTGACTACCTCTTGCCTTCTCTCCTGGCCATGGTACCAGAACATTCTGTTCATTGTCAACAGCAAGAAAGAACGAAAGAATTTCTGGTGAGTTGCTTTTTATTTCTCACTTTGTTAGAAACCTAAGGGTGTCCAAAACATAAGAACAGAAAAACAAATTCAGCTTTGGGAATATGTTCCTAAATCAGATAAAGATATGCAAAGTTAGATTAAAAAATGGATGATATGACAAAGTAAACAGATACCCATACACAATGAGACGGACAGAAGATAGTCTTAGAAGAAAAGTACTAAATTGTAATACCCAAGCACCTCTTCATATGTAGAATATGCCGCTGAAAAGAACCCCAAGACAAGGAAACAAAGGACTTCTTCTTAATTTGTCTTATATTTAGATGATGCTGTGTTCTTTACCTCATAAATGTACATACCATCTGATATATGTTATGTTAACCCTGTTGTATATCACCTTTAAAACAATAATAATCAGAACAAAATACTCTCAAAACTCATAATTACCTCAAAAAAAAGATGGCTTGTAGATTTAGCAGATTATAAAACGTTACAATCTAATTGGAGTGCAGATTTGATTCCATTTGTTTCAAACAACAAAACAGATTTGATTCCGTTTGTTTCAAACAACAAAGCATCTATAATAATATTACAATCATGGCCAGGTACTGGTGGCATACACCATAGTCCTACCTACTCAGGAAGCTGAGATTTAAGTCTATCAGTTCAAAGCCAACCCCGGCAGGAAAGTTCCTGAGACTCTTTATCGCTAATTAGCCACTGGAAAACCAGAAGTGGTGCTGTGGCTCAAGTGGTAGAGTGCTTGCCTTAAGCTGAAGAGCTCAAGGACAGTGTGCAGTCCCAGAGTACAAGCCCCATGACCCACCCAAAAGACCAAAAATTACAATGAGAGCCAAAAAGAAAGTTTGTGAAAGACACTTGTTCCCTTATTCTTTAGAGACAAGAGACTGCAGCCCAGAGACAGTCCAGACATGAAGTCCTCTGGACCTAGCCTTCAAGGCCAACAGTACCCAAGGTTCCATTCCCAGGGGGTGCCACTGCAATCCCTTAATCTTCTCTAGAGTTGCCTGTTTTAACCCTTCCATGGCTAGCTGTCAGCATTCTGAGTATTGTCAAATGGAGTTCCAACCTCAAACCTTTTCCACTTTCAGCTCCACTTCAGAGTTCCCTACTGAAAATTACTACCTTCCACCCATCAATATACAGAAAAAAATTAATTTTTCCTGATTCTATTACCTTTGATTTAATGTCATTCAATGTGGTTGTACAGTAGTGCAGTTTTATTTTTTCTTTTTGCTCTATTTGAATATTTTTATTTACTGCCAGTATAAGATAAAAGCTAGGGCTTGGAAGGTGGCTCAGTGGTAGAGTGCTTGTTTTGCATGCATGAGGCCCTGGGTTCGATTCTTCAGCACCACATAAGCAGAAAAAGTTGGAAGTGGTGCTGTGGCTCAAGTGGTAGAGTGCTAGCCTTGAGCTGAAGAGCTGAGAGACAGACCCAGAGTTCAGGCCCCACGACTGAAAAAAAAAAAAAAAAAGGTAGTTTTGATAATGAACAGTACAGGGGCTAAGGGTTTTATATTTGAACTAACATGGATGGCAGAATCTGACAGATATTTGCTCAGTAATAGACATTGATCTCTCAGGAATTTCACTATTAGCTAATATGTCTTGGAATATATCCTTAGTAATCTACTGGAGAAATGACTCAGGCATACATGACACATTTGAATAGCAGTGAATGGAAGGATATATAAAAACTAAAAGCAAGATGCACAGATTATAATAACTTGTGTATCTTGTCCATGTATGTTTTTTATTAATGGTATTTGTAGTGTATGTTTCCAGCTAAAAGCTACCTTAACATGTTTTCAAATACTTTTAATTAGTTTATTTCAAAAAGAAAAATAGATACGTAAGTCATATCTCTGATAGCCACACAAGATGCATTAACCATTCTTAAATGTACAGTTCATTGATATTATATATTGCTGCATTGTTGTAAGACCATCCCTTCCATCAATCCACAGCATTTTTCATCTTCCATATATGAAGCTGTATAATCATTAAATAGGCACCTCCTGTTCCTTTAAATCCCAGTCTCTGGGTCTATGAGATTGCTGATCCTTGGAAGCTCAGTGAGGAAAATCATACTATGGCTGTTGCCTAGGATTGGTGTATTTTATTTAGCTTTTTGAATTCAAGATTCATCCCTGCTGTAAAATGTACTAAACTTGGGGCTGGGAAGGTGGCTCAGTGGTAAAGCGCTTGCCTTGCATGCCTGAGGCCCTGGGTTCGATTCCTCAGCACCACATAGCAAAAGGAAAAAAAGCCAGAAGTGGTGCTGTGGCTCAAGTGGTAGAGCGCCAGCCTTGAGCTGAAGAGCTGAGGGACAGCGCCCAGGCCCAGAGTTCAGGCCCCACGACCAGACCCCCCCCCAAAAAAATGTACTAAACTTTTCTTTCTTTTCAATACATTTATCTATTGTTTTACATACTTCTAAGTTTTGGTTATTGTGAGTTGTTGTTATAAAGTAATTCTCCACATATGTTTTCTAATCCCTGCTTTTTCTTCTTTTGGATACATATCTAGAAATAGAAGTGCTGAACCATATTCCTGTTTTATATTTTATATTAATTTTATATTAATTTCTTTTTAGTACTTTCCATGCCATCTTTGATTGTCACTATTACCTTCTTTTTAGAAAAGTCTCTTCAATATTTTCCCATTTTATACTCAGATTTTGTGTGGGGGGGAGTTAGTTGGAGGATTTTGTCTTAAATGTACTCATTCTTTCTAGTCATTAATCTATTTAGAGATATGTGCAAATACTTTCTTTCATATTAGGCTTTTTCCTTTTTTTTTTTGGTCAGTGTGGGTCTTGAACTCTGGGCCTGGGTGCTGTCCCTCAGCTCTTAAGCTCAAGGCGAGCGCTCTACCACTTGAGCCACAGCGCCACTTCCAGTTTTCTGTGGTTTATTAGAGATAAGAGTCTCACAGACTTTCCTGCCCAGGCTGGCTTTGAACAGCCATCTTCAGATCTCAGCCTCCTGAGTAGCTAGGATTATAGGTATGAGCCACCGGCCGACTTTTTCTTCCTTTTTGACTGTGCTTTCTGATACATCAGGTTTTAATTATATGCATTTAATTTTGTTTACTTTTGTTTCAGGCACTTTTGGTATTCTATCCAAGGAATTTCTGTTAAATCCAATGTCGTGAAGCTTTCCTCTCCTACTGTCTTCTTTTCTTCCTTTCCCTTTCTCTTTTTCCCTCCTCTCCTTTCCTCTCTTGTCCCCTCTTTTTCCTTCTTTTCCCTGTCCCTTTGCTCCCATTCTTTCCTTCCTCCACTCATTTTTTTTAATCTTTATGTCTCAGATGAGGACTTGCTGTGTTGCCACAATTGGTGTCTAACTTAGGAACTCACGTGCTACACCTACCTCAGCCTCCACTAAGCCTTTCTCATGCTAGTAGTGGAACTTGAATGCTCAGGCCTCACAGTCAATCAGCTTCCTCATTTGCTGTTGACACTATCATTTGAGTCATGCTTCCAACCTGTTTATTAGCTGCTTAAATTGAGTTGTCTACCCAGACTGGCTTCCAGATTTCATCCTCCTTAACAGTCTTAAGTCAGAAGCACTTGTTTTGTTTATTCTTACTTGAACATTGAACATTACCAGTTAATTGGATACTGCAATAAAACAAGATTATTGTTACTGGTTTATGTAGAATTAATACTCAACCCTATTGAAATATTTCATGATTCAAACTAAGTGTTGTATTTTGTTTCTAATAATTGTGACTGTTCTCCTAAATGTGGTAGATTTTCTTCCCTAAGCAAATAGTTTATGCTGGCACAACTCCATGGAGGAATTGTTTTAAAATTAATTCATTGTTATATAGGTGCTGTACAGAAAGATTACAATTATATGAGTCAGGTAATTAGTACATTTCTTTTCACACAGTGTCTTCCATTTGCTAACTCTCTCTCAATCCCTCCCTCCCATCTCTTCTCTCATGTTGTATAGTTTACTTTCATCAGTGTTTGATGACATCCCCTGCTGTATTTTTTCACCCTATTTCCCTGGAGTTCTATGGCTTTCCCCACCGTCCACAAGATATACGTGTGAATGCACCACACATAATTTTTGTTTTAAAGGTGAAGTATGAAAGTGGTTACCATTAATATTTTATAAATCACAATGATACAGTACATTTCTTCCAGCTTCATTCTAATTTTCCTTACTTATTGCACTGATAATTAGAAGTACATTATTTAGTTTAAATGTATTTATAACATAGCTTTATATCTCATATTGATTTCTAGAAAGTTTGTCTTGAGACTTATTCACAGTGTGTCTGTCTTGGAAAATGAAATACCACAGTGCTTTAGAAACAACATTTAGGTTCAGGTAATGCCATTATTGTGTGTGTTCCTGCCGACTTTTTGTCTGGTTGTTCTATCAGTAAGAGATACATTAATTCTCCAATAGTAATTGTAGATTTAATAAATCTGTGATCTTTTTTTTCTTTTGGTTTGAACTCAGGTTCTGGGCACTGACACTGAGCTACTTAAGTAGCTCAATTCTTCCACTGTACCACTTGAGCCACAGTGCCACTTCTGGCTTTTTCTGTTTATGTTGTACTGAGAAATCAAAACCAAGGCTTCATGCATGCTAAGCACACACTCTATCCATAAGCTACATTCCCAGTCCTAAATCTATTGCCCTTTTAATTTCTTTATAATACAATTAACTCTATGAAATCAGGCCTTCATATTTGCCATGTAAGTACAATATTAATTGATCCATATGCCTAGTACATATACGTGGTTTTTAATATACTTATATGTTTATTACTGAATCTTTACACATTATACATAATTAATATGGTGCTATCAGATTTTTCTTATGTAAATCATTTTAGGGACATTACATAAAATATATACTATATATTCCTTTATACTTACCTACACATTTACGATTTTAATGACCTTGTCCTTTGTGTTTATCTATATTACCATCTTTTGTTATTCTCTTGAAGCAGGATTATTTCTTGTAACTTTAAAATATATATATATTTTTAATGAATTGTATATCCCTGAAAATATCTTCAATCTACATTTTTAGAAGAGTTCCTCTACTCAATGGATTATGATTTGAATGGTATTTCTTTCAACACTTACAGATATATTTCCTTCTGTTTATTAGTCAGCATTGCCCTCTGGTATTGTCAAGCATGGCTGGATTTGAGGGATTATTAGCTATTCCTCATTTATAATGGGTTCAATGTGGGAGTCAAAAATCTCTCCTTTTAGCCTTTTTGATTTTTTTCCCCTCCTTTTAGCTTTTGGAAAAGAAATTAATACTACATTTCATTCCAACTTGTAAAATTTCCTTCTATATTTTTACATCATATCCCTCTTTATACTTTTTTCTCTATCTTGCTTGTGGCTGTCATACTTCACATATTTTGTCATCTTCAATGTTCCTTAAGCATCTATCCATTTGCCTCTATCCTTCAATGATGGCGTGTTAAAAGGCAAATATGTTCAAGAAATACTTTATTCTCCTCCCACCTATGTGCTGTATTGTACAAGGTAGGGAATGTTCACAGAAGTTCATGTTAGCATTTTTTTTAATCTCAGGAAGTATTAGGGTATCTTTGACCACACTTCACTTTAGAATTTTAATTAATGGTTAACAAAGGATATTTTTATGCATGAACTTAGTCAAATGTTGTAAGGGTCAAATCAGTCATTATCTACTTTCTTAAGTACTGTTACTCCCTTTAATGTTCACCTAGATACTGCTTTTCATGAATCTACTAATGTGGTTTGTATTCTATGTGGTGTCCTGGATGTGTTCTGATTGCTTATGAGAGCATTTTTTGTTGTTGTTGTTGGTTATGGGGCTTGAACTCTGGGCCTGAGTGCTGTCCCTCAGCAATTCAGCTCAAGGCGAGTGCTCTACCACTTGAGCTACAGTGCCACTTCTGATGAGAGCACTTTTTAATAGAAGATCTAAATAGGGTTTTCAGTGAGGCACACTATGAAAAGCCAAGAAAAATTATTTGTTTTCATTGTTACCCTCATATGTAGCTGACCACTGTTTTAGATACCTACTTAGCCTTAATGTTATCATGCCAAATTATTAGCTCCTTAGAATTGTCTTGTCTCTTTTGCTGGTACCAGAAATATATTCTGATATATTAGGGAAACTTTGTATTTTAATTACCAAGTTTATATAGAGGCAAAATATTTCTACTTTGATTTTTCTTTCTTCCATTGTATAGATAACACTGCAACCTCCAACTATTTTATGTAAGACAGATGCATGTATGTAAAAGAATGAAATTCTGGACTTGGTCTTCTCATGACTCAGGGCTAATTATTTGATGTAAAATGTGCCCTTACAGAAGCTGATGTCATTTGATGATGTGGTTGTGGACTTCAGCTGGGAGGAGTGGCAACACCTGGGTATTGCTCAGAGGACCCTCTATAGAGATGTAATGCTAGAGACCTACAGCAACATGGTGTCCTTGGGTGAGCAAGAGTCCCATTCACTTCCAAGTTCAATTGCTTTGTTTTTAGTAGATATAGGAATATTTATATTGTTTAGATAAAAGATTCCAGTCTGTGGGAAATACTAAGAAATACTTCAACTTGATTATATAACTCCTGAGGCAATTTTATTCTCATTCTTCAAGAATACAAACCAGCAGGTTGACAAAAGTTCTAAACTATGTTCCATGGACAGGAGACTGTCTTCCCAAACCTGGGGTAATTTTTGTATGTTGATTATAATCTAGGACAGATTGTATATCACTATTGGAAGTATGATCTGGAAATCTCTAGTGTGTGTATTTATAATGCAAATCTGAAACTGGGTCCAGTAGCTCACATCTATAATACTAGTTTTCAGGAGGCTGAAATCTGAGGATTTTGGTTTGAATCCAGGCCAGGCAAAAAGTCTCCATGAGATTCTTATGTCCAATTAAACATTCAAAAACTGGAAATAGAACTGGGACTCAAAACTCATAGAATGGTAACCACACAACTGGCAAAGTAAATCCAAAGCTGGGGGAAAGTCAACCATGTAGTGGTTAAGAAAAGAGAAACAAGATTTAGGAGCAACCTTGTGAGCAGGATGTCTGAGATCTTCAAGTAATATGGCTCAGCATGGGGAATGGTTCTCCACTGTTTCTTATTAATAGGGCACCATATTCCTAAGCCTAACTTGATTGTCAAGCTGGAGCAAGGTGTAGAACCATGGAGACGAGAAGACTCAGACAAGAATCTCACAGGTGAGTTAAAGCATGTTGCATAGTGATGTTGGAGCCAGAGCCCCATTGATAAGTGCATCTTGGGCTGTACACAGCAATAATGTTTCTCTTTCCCCTGTGTCCTCTGTATGGCAGAAAGCTAGGTGATCCTTTGTGTCAAAAACTTGTGAGTCAAGAATTCATTGGAGACATGTTGAATTCTGTGTGGCAATAGAATGAATGTTAGTAATTCTCTTTCCATTTGTGGAAATCATTCTGAAAAAGAAAAAGAAGTTTAGAAAATAAGATTTAATTTTCTTTGAAACTAGGACTCTGCAGGTATGACAAAATATGTAGTATACTCTAGCTGCTATCCTCCATTAAGGAAAATATAGCTTGTCAATGGTGGTGGGAAGAGACTGTGTTTCAGAACTGAAGCTTTTAGTCTAAAGAGGATGAATACCTGGGAGATGAGATAGGGAGTATCCTTGGTCTTCCATGGTTTTGAGGGGCAGGAGTGTCAGAAAAGGAATTTTGGTGAGACTTTGTGGAAGGTGTAGAGCAACAAAATTTAAAATTCCCACAGGTATCTAAAGTAATTCATTTTTTTTGGGAGGGGGGTCCGGTCGTGGGGCCTGAACTCTAGGCCTGGGCGCTGTCCCTCAGCTCTTCAGCTCATGGCTAGCGCTCTACCACTTGAACTACAGCGCCACTTCTGGCTTTTTTCTTTTTTCTTATGTGGTGCTGAGGAATCAAACCCAGGGCCTCAGGCATACAAGGCAAGCACTCAACCACTGAGCCACCTTCCCAGCCCCTCAGTTATTTTCTTAATTGATACATTAGGGAGAAAAGCATATATTTCTCATGAATCAATTACTACTTTGATATTTAAAAATCTCAACAGTTAGGATGGGAGAAAATGTCTTTATCTGCACATCAAGGAATCTTTTGATCTTTTGTTTTTGTCTTTTTTTCTGTGACTCATTTTAGATGTCCAAGCAATGGAGGATGTGACTTCCTGCCAGGAAAGTCCAGATGAATATCTATGTGAAGTATCAGTCACAAATAGTAACACAGTGGAAGAAAGAATGAGATTAGTAACAACTTCTAATTTGAGCTCAAAAGATAAACTAGAGCTGATTAGGAATAATGGGAACTCTTTAGGGATGAGGACTGAGGTGTTCATTGAGTATCAGAACATGCTTCCCTATGGTGAACTTGATGAGGTGCATGTTGCATATAAGCCTCCTGACCAATCCCTCAGATATTTAGATCATTTTAGTCAAAAGGATGAGAGTCCAGATGAGCTGCAGTATTTTGAACATAGTGGAAAAAGGAAGGTATTAAACTCAGAGATCATATTCTTTAGCCGTAATTGGGTTCATGTGAGAGAACCCTCCTGTAAATATAATGAATATAGAGAAGATTATAATAAGTCTACATTCCTTGCACAAGGAGTACATCAGGGAGGGAAAACCACACCTGAATGTGCTGCATATGGAAATTTGTTCTACTTAAGACCTATAGTCAGTACACATCAGAAAATGTACAAGGGAGACGATCCTTGTACTTGTAGTGAATGTGAGAAATCTTTCAGGAAGAAAATACACCTTACAAAACCTCAGAGCAAATATCCAGAGGAGAAATCCAATGAGTATATCCAGTGTGCAAAATCTACCTCTCAAAAGTCAAACCTGACTTTCCAACCTCAAACACCCATAGAAGACAAACCTTATGAACATGAGGAATGCAGGAAATTTCAGAAGTCAGCTCTCAGCAGGCATCAGAGAGCTTACATGGAAAAGGAACCTTATGAATGCAACCAATGTGGCAAATCTTTTACCTGTAAGAAACATCTTGATGTTCATCAGAGAATACACATAGGAGAGAAACATTACGAATATAAGAAATGTGAAAAGTCCTTCACCCAGAAGTCACAGATCAACAGACAAAAGTTATGTCACACAGCAGAGAAATTATTTGAATGTAACAAATGTGGAAAGTCTTTCACACGGAAGTCACACCTCACTTCGCATCAGATAACACACACAGGAGAGAGACCTTATGAATGCAACCAATGTGGAAAGCTTTTCAGGTGGAAGTCAAACCTCACTTTGCATCAGAGTACACACACAGGAGAGAAACCTTATGAATGCAACCAATGTGGAAGATCTTTCAGAATCAAGTCACACCTCACTTCACATCAGAGAACACACACAGGAGAGAAACCTTATGAATGCAACAAATGCGGAAAGTCTTTCAGAAGGAAGTCACATCTCACTTCACATCAGAGAACACACACAGGAGGAAAACGTTATGGATGTAACACGAGTGGGAAGTCTTTCAGAGGCAAGTCAGACCTCATTTTGCATCAGAGAACACACACAGGATAGAAGCCTTATGAATGTAGCAAATGTGGAAAGTCTTTCATAAGGAAGTCATTCATCCCTTTGCATGAGGGAACACACATAGGAGAGAAGCCTTGTCAATGTAACAAGTGTGGAATGTCTTTCAGAAAAGAAGTCATACCTCACTTTGCATCAGAGAACACACACAGGAAAAAAACCTTATGAACATAACAAATGTGGAATGACTTTCAAGTGGAGATCAGATCTCGGCAGACGTAACAGAATTCACACTGGTGAGAACCCTTATGAAAGTAACAAATGTGGAAAGTCTTTCCCCTGAAAGATATATCTCAGTGATCATCAGCGAAGTGACTCACCTAGGAGAAAAGAAAACTAATGAATATAGCATATGTGCAATGGCCTTTAATGAGAAATCAGTCCCCAGTGTATCCAAAAACCTACACAGGAGAGTATAGTAAATGTATAAAAAACACTTTTCCAGAATCACATCTTTACAGGTATCAGAGACCTGGACCCATGACAGAATCTCTGTGAAAGTAACTGTTAGAGGAGTTTGGTCAACCAGCAGTCAACTGATTCATGGCAGAGGTAAGCTAGGTTTAATGGGAAACTATTCTTTACACTCTGGTAGTCAGTGACCCAACATTTCTCTTTCTCTCATTGTGTTGCGTGGGGATGATGTAGCTGCATTATTTAAAGGATTTGGACACAGTAATAGACATTCACTACTTCCAGGCTTGCACAGTAATTAAGAGAGTGAAGTCTTTTATAAGAAGGAATGGTTTTTCACAGTAATTTTATAAGCTCTTCTCAGAAATAAGAGCTGCAGGCCTTTTGGGCTGGAGTCAGATCATCTACAAGGTGTTTTGTGGAGTAATACACTAAAAAAAAAAAACTTTCCAGATTTGAGCCAACGATATGAGAATATAGATTTCTCTACTGCTCCCCTAAATTCTTCCACTGTATTTGTGGTCCATGCATTATAACACAAATGAGTATTTACAGTTTATTTTTTGAAGGGAAGATCTTATGGAAGATACCAGTCCTGTATTACAAAATATGCACAATAAAAAATTTTTCTCATCACCTTTTGCCCTAAATTGATAAAAAAAAATCGGAGAACCTGGAAGTACACACATTTGTAGATACATTTTCTTAGTGTGTGGGTACAAGTCAAGAGACTAGACATTGTCCTTAAGAATTTTATCTTAATGCTAATGCTCTACCACTTGAGCCACCAGCTTCACTTCCAGTTTCTTTGGTGGGCAAATAAAGATAAGAGTCTTAACCATTTTGTTTTGAATGTGTAACCCCAAAATGACTTTTTTTTTTTGGCCAGTCATGAGGCTTGAACTCTGGGCCTGGCACTGTCCCTGTACTCTTCAATTCAAGGCAAGTGCTCTACCACTTGAGTAACAGTGGCACTTCTGGTTTTCTAGTGGTTTATTGGAGATAAGAGTCTCACGGACTTTCCCATCCGGGCTGGCTTTGAACCGTGATCCTCAGATCTCAGCCTTCTGAGTAGCTAAGATGACAGGTATGAGCCACTGGCACCCGGCATGACTTACTTTTTTTATTCACCTAATCACTGATGATGAGTCACTTGTGATTGATTCACTCTTTGCCCATTCTGTAGTTCTGCTAAGTAAGCTATAATAAAATACAAGTGTAGAGGATGTGAAGAGCCTAGGTTTTCTCACTGTTCTGGAGTCTGAAAGTGAAGTTCTCAAGAGGATGAATATCTCTCTGCCACACTACTATCACTTTCTCCAATTCTGTTCAGATAATTGTGCCAAAACACAATGAAGACATAGTTTTTATTCAATCCTATTCTGGTAGTAATGTAAAAAAATTAGAAATGTGGAAAAAATGAGGAACAAAGGCTAGTTAGAAGATGGTTACAGAAATCCCAGGGATGAGGGAGACAAATCAATAAGACTGTGCTAGACATTTGGTATGGTAAAATTCAGGTAAAAAGTCATCCTCATCACTTCAAAATACTGTATGTACAATATTATGTTCCATATTTTCATTGTGCAGTGACTTCATATCCAAAACCCAGAATACATGTATTTCTTTGTGATGAGAAGTCATCTGTCATTTGTAATCACATGAAGAATTTATATTAAGTTAAGGAAGATATTATATTAAGCCAACCTGGTATAGAAAAATACTTAGTAATCTGTCATAAAATTGGAAGTTAAGAAAAATAGAACCAACTTCTCATAGAGGCTGAGAGTAGGATGGCTGACTCTGTGACAGTAATATTTCTTTACAATCATTTATCTGACTACAATTATATTGTACTTATTTTGAAGTACAGTGTGTTGTTCCACAGTTTCATCATGCAGTGATTGCATATCCAACAGCCAGAATGCATACATTTCTTTGTGAGAAGGCTGTCATTTGCAGGCTCAGGAATGATCCAGAAAGACATTAAGTGAAATAGCCAGGCAGAGAAAGACATTGAGCAATCTCACACAAAAAGGGAAGCTAACAAAAATAGAACCAATTTCTCACAGAAGTTGAGAATAGAATACTTGTTACCAGACAAATGGAGAGATTGTTCCATGTCTCCAGGAGTCTCTGTTCAGGATTTTGGTCTTCTTTGTCCTTTAGTGTCATTGCCATGAGTCAGTGTGTGCTTTTGAACACTTTCCAGTGTGGCATGTGCTTAAATATCACAGACTGTTTATGTGGAAATGCCTTCACTGAGAGAAGTTTACATAGAAAAAACATCAGAGAAAATCGTGACAGAAATCAGGTTTGTGGCCTGATGTCCTGGTTTCAAATGGAACTTGGAATCTATACAATGTATAGATGAATTGATTCATTTTTAAAAAATATTTGCTTTGTGAAATACCAACATGAAGCCAATTTGCACAACTAACATGAATACAAAACAAATAAGAACACTGTTCAGAAAGAAATGTACTCAATACCTGACTTCAGTAACTGTGACCCCTCTGTCTGTATATCACCTTTACCATAACAATGTTTAAAAAAAGACAAAAAAAGAGGAATGTAAGATAGGTTCTGTTAAGGATGTATGTAGCAATGGGAACAGGGATGGTGAACAGATAGGGTAAAGGAATGTGAATATGGTCCAAAAAAACTGTGTGTGTGTATGTATGTATGTATATATGTGTACATATATATACATATATATATATATATGTATATATATATTATATATGGAACTTGCTGGCATTGGTTTTGTTGTTATTGTTAGTGTTTTCTGCCATTCCTAAGGCTTGAACTCAGGGTGTGAGCACTGTGCCTGAACTTCTTTTTGCTCAAGACTAGCACTCTACCCACTTGAGCCACAGCACCACTTCTGGCTATTTTTTTTTGTTTATGTGGTACTGAGGTATCAAATCCAGGGCTTCCTGTATGCTAGGCAAACACTACCACTATGCCACATTCCCAGTCTTGCTGACATTGTTTGAAGAAAGGGGATGAGGAAGAGAAGAGAGTAAGGGTAAATTCATATGCATATATCGAAATATCACAACGCACCTCCTTTGTTCAACTAATGCATGCTAATTAAATATAAGGGAAAATAGCATAGTCAAAGAATTATAGGGTACAAAAAAATGTTCAACCCTCCAGGTGCTGGTGGCTCTTGCCAGTAATCTGAGATCTGAGGATCACAGTTCCAAGTCAGCCTAGTAAGGGAAGTCTATGAGACTCTTACCTTCAATTCATCACCAAACAAAACAACCTAGAATTTGAATTGTGGCTCAAGTGGTAGAGCACTAGCCTTGAGCACAAAAACTTAGGGAAAGCCTTTAAGCCCTGAATTGAAGCTATATTTTTATGTCATAGTTGTCATAGATGTCAAATGCATTGTGATGTCATAGTTGATGATGCTACTTTATTTAAAATGAATCAATTACTGATGTAGTTGGTTTAGTAGAGGTCATAAACAAAACTGATTAGTAGGCAGGCTCATTGTTCGTTGTTCTTGTGTTTTTCCTTTACTTATCCCCCCTTTTCCTTATCTAGTTGTAACTGGATATTTCATTTCATTCCATTTTCTCTTTTCACTTTTGATGCTCTAACCATGGGACTTGCACATGGAAGGTAGGTATTACACATCAGTCTAGTCTTTTTTTTAACATAAAAGTGTGCTTATTTAGTCAATTTCCCATGCAATTTAAAATATAAACTTACCAGTGACTTTAGTTTACTTTCAATAGTACTGTCCTCCTTTACAGTGAGTGCAGTGGCCCAACAGAGAAGAGACTCAATTCCTCTGCTGTCCCTTATAAATTTCACTTGTCCACAAACTAGCATCAACAGATATATTTCTGCTCTTATTACATTGAACACAATGTCATTTGTTGGGGTAGATAAGATAAAGTGAAGAAAACCTTTTCACTTATTTATTGTGAGTTTGACTGTTCCATCTTGCTGTACACTTAAGGTTCTCACTCTTGTGATTTCAGGTCTCTATGAACTACTTTAAAATTTGTTTTCTTTTTAGGACACAGGTGACACTACTGGTGATGAATCTATAACTTAGCACTTTATAAGGATATGCCATAAACTTGAGCCTTACCCAAAGCCCCTAAGTATTTTTGTTTACTTCAGACATTTTTGTGAATTTGTAACAATAGGTAAATCTGAAGGGTTGTTTCAGAGATTGAAATCCCCTTACTTAGGCCTATGTAGCTAGAATGATAAGCATGATCCATAATATCTCACTTATTCAAGCTACACCTGATGGCAAACTATTTCATTTCTGCTTTTTTTTTCTGAGCTAATGAGCTTAGAGCCTCCGAGTTTTCCTTGAGTTGTTTCAATGTTGATGCTCTATCCCTGAAAGCCATGCTCCAGTTTGACAGTTTAGTAATTAAAGATAAATCTGAAATACTGCCTGACTTTACTGTAATGTTTGATTTTGATTGTGATCCTCAGATCTCAGGCTGCTCAGTTTTTTTCCCCCACCTTTTAGAAACTCTTCATTGCTCCTTTACTTTGAAGGATAATTTAAATGGCTACCAATCTTATGATTGGACAGGTTTTTCAACATTAAGATATTTAGTTCTGTGCTATACCTATCCTAGCAAAGACACTTGGGGACATCTCCCAGCTCTGAGAGGAAAAAAGAAAGAATTGATGGGAAAATAATTCTCAAAAAAAGAATAATATTTGGTGAATCTGAGAATTATTCTTTTAGAGGTAGCACTCAAGAAAATAGCTTTTACAGTAAGCAATTTTTAATGTTTGTTTTTTGGTAAAATACTGTTCAGAGGGCTTACATGAGTAAGGTAATGAGTACATTTCCTATAAAGCATTGTTACCTCCTCCTTTGTTTTTCCCCTATCATCCCTTTCCTCCTCCCCAACTCATCCCTTACCCTCTCCCCGAAGTTGTAAAGTTTGTTGTCAACAAAGTCTCTTGCACATCTCATTGCTACAATGGGTCAACCTGTATCCTTATTTCTGTATTTTGTTATTTCCCTTCCCCTCCCCACATTATAAAAATGTATATACAAGATGCAGGGCACCAGAATAAAATACAGTGGAAACAGGGGTTATACCAGGGGGGTAGAACATATAAAAGAAACAAAAAAAATCATTTAGTACATTATCAGTACATTAAAAACTACAGCAAGAAAGATAAAACCTCTTGTGTCCTTATCTTGGGGTTCATTTTGCTTGGCATCAATATGCAAATTCTTGAACTGTTCAAAAAATGATGCAGAGGCTCTGGCATTTTATAGTGTTTGAATATAACAACTAATACTCTTCATTTACATAGACACAGAAAAGTTGACCTAAGTTTAAAATTCTTAGAGCCAAGGTAGATGCCATTATATATTTAAGTAATTAAACATATGCTGCAGGCATTTAGAACCTGTTTTTACCTGAGGAAGTGCTTAACTAGTAAACCA